TGCTGCCGCGGCGGGCGCCGGCTCGGAGGGCGCGGCCTCGGGAGCCGGCTCGGAGGGCGCGGGCTCGGGCGCCGGCTCGGAGGGCGCGGCCTCGGGCGCCGGGTCGGAGGGCGGCGCCTCGGGGGACCTGGTGGTCGCTGACGGCGCGTGAGGCGGGGCTGCCGTTCGAGAGGGCTCGGCCCGAAGCTTGGCTGCCCCTTGCTCAAGCGGCCTGGTCTTTGCCTGGTGGGGTTTTTTCGCGCCGGACGTTCGGTTGCCGGCGCCTTGCCAGCTGATGAAATCGCGGCACTGCCTGGGTGGATCCTCAATTGTGACACAAGACTTGGTCGTGCCTCGAACCTTAAGATTCACAGTGCCTCTGACAGCCATCTCGGCTGCGGTCGACTGGCTGCAAAGCTGGACTTGCCATTGACATTTGCGCCGCTGCGTGACGTTGGCGTTTGCTCATTCCTTTGCAGTACACTGGCGGCGCTTTGTGCGCGACCTGCACCCTCCTTGCTTCTTTCCAGACAAACAGGCCCAGTATGAATCTGTACGTTTGCTTTGGGGATGTGCGATGCATTTTACCAAAACACAGGAATGCTCTTGAACGGGCATGCAATCAACAACACTGCATTTGCAGTCAACGGCGACGCTTTCTGTGTGCTGTTCATCAACATGAGCATTCAGTAACCAAGCGAGCAGGAAGCACGGGCGGTTGTGAACTCACGATAGCAAAGCAACAGAGCTCAAACAGCGCTCTTTGCGCGGGATTACACATGATAGGCCACAGCGTATGGCCGAAGCAGCAGCAGCTGCAAGAGACGCCTACGGGTCTCCGTTTGACGCGCCCAGCCTGCGCAATTAGAAGCCCGCCGCCTCCGCCGCCATCTCGTTGTGGCGCCGCGCGGCTTCGTTGTGGGCGAGGTGTCCAAGGAACTCTGGCTGCAGCATGTCCCTTGGGTGGGCCCCCTTGTCCAGTGACAGCTGGGGTGGGGAAGGGTGGGGTGGAGTGGGGTGGAGCGGGATGGAATGAGCGCAGGGGAGGGGAGGAGGCTGGTGATGAATATGCTTTTGTTTGTGATTTGTGTGATTTGTGTGACTTGTGTGATTTGTGTGTGTAGGTGTAATCTGTGTGTCTATGTGATTTGTGTGTGTGATTTGTTTGCGTGTGCGTGTTGGGTGTGTGCGTGCGTGCACGCGTGCGTGCATGTGTGGCCACGTCTGTGTGTGAGTCTAGGCAAGGGATGGGGTGAGCAAGGAGGAAGGCAGCGGAGGCAAACACGATACATCACCACAGCCGCTCACGCCGTGCGCACCCCCCCCCATGGCAAATGCCCACCTGGTACGCGTCCAGGATGGTGGCGGGGTACACCTGCAGGTGCAGCGCCGCGAGCGCCCGAACGGCCGCCGCCACCCGCACCACGCGCTCCCGCACCTCCCGCGGCGGCGGCGCCTGGGCGGGCAGGGGGTGCGACGAGCAGGGTTTGAGGCGTTTGGGCGCACAGCACGCCGCGGCACGCGCGCTGATGGCGAGGCCTGCGGCCCGAACGAGAATCAACGGCCCGCCAACCACAAACCCAACTTCCGCGCTGCGATTGCTGGAATGCGTGCACTCGCGCCGACCCCGCAGCCCCTTGCCCCGACCCCCCCATCACCTGCTCCGCCCCCGCGACCGCGGCGCCGTCGTCGCCCCTCTGGACGTGCGGCGCGACCCAGATCAGCCCGTTGAGCCCGAGCACGGCGTCGACGCCGAGCGGCTCGAACGACGCGAAGTGGGAGCGCTGGCGCTTTATGAGGCCGGGGTGGATGGTGACCAGCTGGCCTTGGACCAGCTGGGGTGGCGGGGGC